CATGGATTTACTTACCCCCCGGTTAAAGAGGGATGAAGTTAAAATCCTCTGTTGTCAATTCTCAGTTTATTTTTTTTATAATGATCAAAATATTAAATCGTGGCGAAATCAATGATAAAACAAGTCTTTTAACAGGATCGCATTTACAGATAAATCGGCCTGTTTGGTTTTCTTGCTGTCATTTAAATAAAAGAAAATTTTATGTTGATTATTTTGATGTATAGAGAATGGGGTGGTTTTCTTTGTCGTTAAGAAGTTATCAAGTGGGTGTCGGTTGGGGTGCTCAAAACACCTTCCCAGATACTACTGGAGATCGAATTCTTTGAACTGTATTATAGGGTTAATCCAATAACATTCATCTATTTTGGTTAATATATTCAGGAGATGAACTCGTTCAGAAACACCAAAACGGTGTAGTTTTGTCCGGGAGTTTTGTTTTGGGTCTTTGGGCAATTCCTTGTGATTAATTCCAATTCATTTCAATAGTCAACGGAAAAAATGACTGGCAAAAAGCGATGAGTTGAACGCAAGTATTGACGGAATCACATCGATCTGCCTGCATCCTTTAAAATAGCAGGCAAAGTCTGTGGGCTAGCTGAAAAATGAAATTTTGCCCATACTGATCACGTTTTATCCTCATACAAGTTCAATCCCTAAAATGTCTTGCACTTGGTTGCACGGAGATGGAGTTGCCTAAAAACTGAATAATTTGGTAGCCTGTCGCACCTTAAAGAAATTTAAATTTGTACATTACCCGACCAGTTATGTATTCTGCAAGCAGAGCTTATTCGATCTTCCTAGATAATTTCAGGAATTAAGAGGAGTGGACCTATCTTTCTCCTCCTTTTCCCTTTCTATTCGATCGAAGGGCCTCTGCTCGCAGGGTGCCGGTTACGTCTGCTCACTAAATTCTAAACTTTTGCGGTCGCGGTACGTTCCAAAGAGCTTTTAGGGCATCGAGCTGACGTATAAGGAAACTATGGCTTGACTTTTTGGTTTCTAGTTCAAGACACGGTAAAAATGAGATTGTGCAACGTCCACAAAACGACATCCTAGCATTTGTGGAGGGTTTTCAACTTGGACAGTGATGCTGCTGAGAAAACAAGAATTACCATGCACAGAGAATAGAAGAGTCACGAAGAGTACTGAATGAATCAAGCTGACACTTAAATTGCCACACATCCTCGCGCTTGACGAAAGACCCCGAAAAGGTCATTGTTCGACAATAAAGTGGATACTCTTTCAAACGTTTTTATTTTTCCGATTTAAGTTGATTATTGCCGCGGGATGAAGGATTACAAAACCGCAATATTACTATGGACAATTCCGTTGTCTGTTATAGAATAGCCTGAAGATCAGATTGTTTTAGGTTTTTGTCAGCCGTACACTTTTTCTGTTATTTCAAAGGAAGTGTTCTTCCCAGCACCCACTGTTTCTCTATAACATTCCTGAGTCCTAACGCTAGTCATAACAACTTCCAGTTTCACCTGCACCTGCAAATTAAATTCAGCGTAGTGTAACTGAGAAGAGAATGGCATAAATGTTTTTGCCAAAAGTTTAAAGCATAGGAAGCACATTTATGAGAGACATGGCTTCAGGATGGAGAACTTAATTCAGTGGGATGAGGGGGGGTGGGGGGGGGG